ATTTTGGAAAATCAACCCATTGAGGTGAGGGAGAACTTGTCAGTGGAGGAATTTCCTTTGAGAATCATGGATCATAGGGAATAAGTTCCAAGAAGAAGGACCATGCCCTATGTGAAGGTGCAATAGACGACCCATACACCACGAGAGGCAATGTAGGAGTTAGAAGAAGACATGCGAAACTTTTAGTAAGGGGGGTAGAATGTAAAACCCACGATTTTCAAGCTCATTTTATCTTGCCCAATTTAATTAAATGGTAATTTATTATGGTAAAAGCAAAAATAATTGCAAGTTAGGTTAAAAGGTTAATTAAGAGATAGGATGAGATAAGATAGGATAAAAGTTTATAACAGTTAAAATTCCTATTTAAACTACCTACTAGTAGGTGGTTATTAGGGAATTAGCATAATCATAAAAAAAAAAAACCTATTCCCTACCTTTCATCGTCTGCCTCCCTAGAGCAAGAGCCGTCAGAGAGGAGAGAAGGAGAAGCAGACAACACCGGAAATCGATCTGACAACTAGGCACCTAAACCTATAAGTCTCAAGTTCACGCAAGAAAACCTCTCTTTTAAGTTTTAGTAGTTGTATTAATTGTTCTAGTAATTTTATGGAGATGTATTGTTGCTATATAGGTGTAGATATGTATGTTTTGATAAGATTCGTATTTGGGTTAATAGAAATAGGGGGGTTGATTTTAATCCTGAGATTATAGAGTGATTGAATCTGTTTTAAAAAAAAAAAAAAAGAAGAAGAAGAAGGGAAAGGGAAAAGCAGCGGCAGCCACTCTGTCTTGGCTAGACGTTGCAGTGGCAACACCGCACACACAAAAAAAAAAAAAAGGAAAAGGAAGGGGCATGCAGGCCGCCATCTCTGGTGGCAGAGAAAGAATTTGCAAAGGTTATCAATTCAAGAGCAATTACTTTAACCAAGTAAGCATGATATTTAAGCAAGGAGACATTCCACGAAAATATTTTCATGTACCTGAAATACTCACCTGTCAAGCAATGTAGAGTTCAAACGTCAAGTTCCTTGGTTACGTTCACCACCGTTTTCCAATCCTAGGGCAACGAGTGAAATCATTAACAAACTAGGTTCAATTCTAACCCAAAAGTGAGCTCATTAGGTGACCAAGTGAGTGGTTAAATCTACTAAATTCACCATGCAAGTTAGACCCAAAATACAGTAAAATTTCATGAGAAAATAAGTTTAACAAGTGCAAGAAAGTTGGCCAAAAGAAAAGTTTCATTCAAGTTAAAAATGTTCTTCGCGGGAAAACGGTCACGCTTGCGCAATCTTGGGAAAACGGTCATATCTCACTGTAGAAAGGTCAGAATTAGGTGCCGTTGGTGGCGTTGGAAATTAGACTCGAAGGGCTTTCCAATGATATCAAATTCATACTCTATTTCATCTCTTATCAGTACCAGTAGCTCAGAAAATTCGACTGATTTTCCAACTCTGGATCAGCCCTAACCTCAAGCAAAACTACTTTAGTTCTTGGTGCTATCTTCATTCGTTTTGGTTCAAATTCACCCAAAACAGTCCTCTAATGTTCATATATAGGGATTTAGGTCACCTAGTACCATTGGAGTTCAAAATGAAATACATCAACATGATTAAGAATGACCATAGCAGTCTAGTCATCAAGAGCAACTAAAACAGTCCACTAGTGGTACAACCAATCACTTTACTTGCTTAAATTTCATTCCAACTCACACATGAGTTTAACCAATGTCTAGCCAAGTTTCTTAGGCATGATTAAGGTAAAAATAAACCAAAAAAATCAAGGGGAAACCCCTCCTTCCAATACCAGTCAGCCAAGGAAAAAGAAAACAGTCCACAAGTTCACATATTTATCTAACCTTCATCCTCTCATGATTTTCACTTAAACAACATATCAAGTGTTAAATCTAACTCAAAAGAGGTCTAAAACATGTTAATACTTCATAAACAATCATGAACAAAGTTCAAACATTTCATCAAACACATAGTAGGCATACTAATTAACTCAACCACTACTTGTTTAATTCAAGAGATTAACCCCAAATCTTAACCAAAACAAGTTGTAGTTTGCCATTAAAATTTAAAGTACATGATATAACACCATAAAACTATCATTTAAAAATTATTTACCTCTCTTATAAGAAGCTTGAACCACCAAATCAATCCATCCAAAAGAAAGCTTCAAGCTTGAAACAAGCACTAGGGTTGGAGGAAAGTTTCTCAACTAACTCAAGATCTTTCTCTTTTGATTTTTGCTCTTGATCTACTAGGGTTAGAAAGTAAGGAAAATTGGAGTTTCTCTCTTCCTCTCTAAGCTTCAAGAGGGCCGGCCATAAGGAGGAAAAAAATGGCTAAGGCTAATTTTAATTATCTTCTAATCTTTGGTCAAACAAAATACTTGGCTAGGGTTTTGCCACATAGCTCACTTCCTGTTCATAACTTCTCGTAATCCTTTGACTAATGATGTTCCAACCCTTCCAAATGTCCCAATATCTATTTAACATCTCTAAACTCTCATATAAAGTCCCAACCACAATAAAATAATATTTGGTAAAAATGTAAGTGGTGAAATAAACTAAAACTAACTCAAAGAAAATGTTTCCATTCAAGTAAAAGAAATGAAATGCAATGCAAGGGAATTGTTATAATACATGTAGAATGCAATGCAAGGGGCATATTATAAGTGGTTTAAATCTTAGGACAAGACATATAGTTTAGGAGAATTGCATTTTAAAGTGAGGGTTCTCACAGAAGCATTACCCAAAATCTTGAATGAGTCTCAAGTGTCTAAAGAGATTCCTATGGATAAATTTTCTAACATTGTGGGGAATATGCTTGCTGCTAATCATATCGCTTTTTTCGATGACGATCTAACTGCAGAAGGGATTGGGCATAATAGAGCCTTATATATATCAATACGCTGCAATGGAAAGCTATTGCCGAGGGTATTAGTGGATAATAGGTCAGTGTTGAATATTTGTCCATGGAACACTCTCACTATGTTTGGATTTCTTGACATCAAACTTCTCCCATCTGCAACTGTGGTTAGAGGATTCGATGGTTCAAGGAGGGAATCTATGGGTGAAACGGATCTGGTATTGGAGATTGACCCTGCTCAATTTCAAGTTACTTGCCAAGTCATGGACTTCTCCAATGTTTACAATATTTTGTTTGGAAGACCTTGGATACATGCTTTCAATTCAGTGACATATTCTCTGCATCAAATGTTGAGATTTATTATGAATGATCAGTTCATTACTATGTTTGCTGAAGATGACTGTACCATGATCGTTGATGCAAAATTCACAGATGAAGATAGGAAAAGGACTCCAATTTCATCTCATTATATTGCTGATATCGTCTCTGTGGGATGGGTATCCAGAAATAAGTCGCTGACTAAATCAAATTTGTCAGAGGCTAGTATCATGATGGCTAAAGAGATGATCCGAGGCGGATATGAAATAGGTAAAGACCTTGGGTGGGAATTGCAAGAAATTTTGGAGCCAATAGAGATCCTGACGCAAAAGGATACATTTAGATTGGAATTTTATCCAACTACTAAGGATAGAAGAGTAATGCAAGTTCGAAAACAAGCAGAAAAGGAGGATAAACAAACTATCTTATATGTCCCACTGCTATATCACATCTTTTCTCTCCCGTTAGAGGTGATTCTGTCAAAAAAGGAGGATCCTGTTGAAGAGATTGAAGTGGACTTATCTCAATTATTTGTCGATGCTATTTGTGGGGAGGAGCCATCAAAGAATTTAGAATTTTTGTTAATTATCGAAGGAGCTATCCAAAATTGGACTGTTGATTATCTTCCCTCTCAAAAGAAATTTCAGTAAATTTAAGGAGATTGTTTTTTCGTCTAGATTCATATTCAGATAGGGCGGTAGTCTGAATCTTTTGTTAAAAGAAATTACTTTCATTTTTTGAACATTTATTCCCATTTTAGTTAATATAACTTGTTTTATTCAAGAAAATTGCTGAAAAGGAAACAAAGGTTTGGGTTGAATGTGTCTTTAAATAGTAATCATGTCTGTGTATTTATCATTTTGTGAAGTTTCGATGCATTTTGAATTCAATGGAATGGAAGACTTCTCATACATTTTAAACTATTTTCTATTTATTTATTACATATGTTCTATTCTATTTTCAGATGGCTGTAAATAAAATCTTTTGACCCTTCGAATGTCACCATTTTGGAATTCAATGGTTGCAATCTCGATATCGCTCATGAACTTGAAATCGTGCAATCTGAAATTCAAAACGAAAGCGATATTGAGGAAGAATTTGAATTTATTTCAAGGGATTTGAAACAGTATGAAGAGAAACTTATACCAAACTTAGAAGAAATAGAAATCATCAATATTGGCACTAAGACGGAGGTTAAAGAAGTTAAAATCAGTATTCATTGGAATAAGAAACAGAAGGAGGAAATGATCGAATTCTTAAAATTATTCAAGATATGTTTGCATGGTCATATGATGATATGCCAGGGATCTCTACAGACATAATGGTTCATAAGTTGCCGACTGATCCAAATTTTTTGCCTGTAAAATAGAAGCCATGTAAATTCAAACCAGAAATAGGTCTCAAGATAAAGGAACAAATTGTGAAGCAACTCAATGCCAAGATTATTGTGGTATCTCATTATCCCATCTGGCTCTTGAATCCTATGCCAGTGTTTAAGAAATTTGGGGAGGTGCGAGTATGTGTTGATTATAGAGATTTGAATAAGGTCAGTCCGAAAGATGATTTTCCTTTGCCAAATATTCATATTCTTTTGGATAATACTGCTAGACACGAGATTGAATCTTCTGGTGATTATTTTGTTGGGTATTATCAAATCTTAATGGCAGAAGAAGATAGAGAGAAAACTTTTTTTATTACCCCATGGGGAACCTTTTATTATCGAATGATGTCTTTTGGGTTAAAGAATGCTGAAGCTATTTATCAGAGGGCTATGACAACCTTGTTCCATGACATGATCCATAAGCGATGGAGGTTTACATGGATGATATCATAATTAAATCGAAGAAGGTAGAGGACTATTTGGTTGATTTGAAGAAGTTGTTTGAAAGGTTGAGAAGGTATAATTTGAAGTTGAACCCTGCGAAATGTGCTTTTGAAGCTTCGACTTGTAAGTTATTGGGATTTATTATTAGTAGAAAGGATATAAAGATAGATTTTGCGAAAATTAGAATAATTCGAGATATGTCTATTCCAAAAACTTAGAAAGATGTGAAGAGTTTTCTTGGAAAGATCAATTTCATTGGCCGATTCATTGCACAGTTAACCTCCACTTCTAAACCTTTGTTCAAATTGTTGAAAAAAAATGCGCCAATGGATTGGAATAAAGACTGTCAGCAAGCTTTTGATAAGATCAAGAATTACTTGTTAAATCCTCCGATCTTAGTGTCACCGCAGTTAGGAAGACCTTTGATTATGTATTTGTCTGTTCTTGGTAAAGCTGTTGGATGCATTCTGGGGTAGCACAACGAATCTGGGAGGAAGGAACAAGTCATCTACTATTTGAGTAAAAAATTTATAGCATATGACGTTAACTATTCTTTTTTTGAGACAAGTTGTTGTGCTTTAGCCTGGACAACTCAGAAACTGAGAGATTATTTGCTTGGTCATACCACTTACCTGATTTCTCGTTTTGATTCTCTAAAATACCTTTTGAAAAAGTCGATACCCACGGGACGTATGGCTAAGTGGCAAATGATCCTTTTTGAATTCAACATTGTCTTCACAACACAAAAGGCAGTCAAGGGACAAGTCATAGCAGATCATTTGGCAGAAATCCAAGAGAAGATGATTACCAACCATTGCAAACCTACTTTCCTAATGAAGAAATTCTGTTCATTGGAGCAGTTGAGGACATGAGTGAGTAATATCCTAGATCGAGATTATTTTTCAATGGTGCATCAAATTATTTTGGAGTTGGAATTGGAGCAATTTTGGTGTCGCATGAGGAGAAACACTATCCTGCTACTGCTAAATTACAGTTTCCTTGTACTAACAATATGACTGAGTATAAATCTTGTATTTTTTGATTGAAAATGGCATTGGACATAGAGATCCAGAACCTGATAGCATTCAATGATTTCAATTTACTTGTGTATCAAACACTTAAACAATGGGTAACACGGGATTCAAAAATTATGTTGCACATTATAGCTTGCTTAATAATTTGGCTAGTAAGTTCAGGAATTTGGAACTCAGACATTCCTCGCACTCGCAATGCTTTCACTAATGCTTTAGCCATCTGTCTTCGATGATTCAACATCCGAATGACCTAGTAATTGAGCCTATACAGATCCAACTTCAAGATAAGCCAACGCGTTGTCTAGTTATAGAAAGGGTTGCTAATGGTTGTCCTTGGTACATTAATATGAAGGAATTCATTAAAATAGGATCCTATTCTCCTGACGCTGATTCTATTGCAAAAGGTTTCCTACACAGAATGTCATCAAGATTCTTCTTGAATGGAGAAGTGTTATACAAGAGAACATCTGATTTGGGTCTTTTGAGATGCATCGATGAAGAGGAAACTGACTATATGATGAAAGAAGTGCACAGTGACATTTGTGAATCACACATGAATGGGCATCTACTGGCTAAGAAAATCATGAAAACAAGATATTTTTTACTTACTATGGAGCATGACTGTGTAGATTTTGTTAGGAAGTATGTCAAATATCAAATATTGGTGATGTTATGCATGCCCCTTCTACAGAATTGCATAGCATGACTGCTCCGTGGCCTTGTTCAATCTGGGGAATGGATGTGATTGGAACAATTGATCCTCCTGCTTCGAATAGGCATCGATTCATTCTAGTGGCAATTAAATATTTCACCAAATGGGTTGAGGCCGCATCCTATAATCATGTGACTAAGAAAGTGGTGTCAGATTTTTTGAAAAATAATATCATTTGTCATTTTGGAGTACCGGAGACATTGATCACTGATAATGCCAAGAACCTCAACAATGATATGGTGAATGGATTATGTGAACAGTTTAAGGTTAGGTATCAAAATTTTGCCATTTACAGATCTCAGATAAATGGAGCTGTCGAAGCTGTAAATAAGAATTTGAAAAAGATCATTCGTAAGATGACTGAAGCACATCGAAATTGGCATGAGAAACTGCCTTATGGATTGATGGCGTATAGAACTACGATCAGGACTTCTACCGGAGCAACTCCTTACTCTCTTATTTGTGGAATGGAAGCAGTATTGTTTGCAGAAGTTGAAATTCCTTCCTTATGCATTCTGATAGAAGCTCAGATAGATGAAGCGGAATGGGTCAGGAAACGTTATGAGCAATTGTCTCTAATTGATGAAAAAAGGTTGAATGTCATCTGTCATGATCAATGTTATCAACAAAGAATGGCTTATACTTATAACAAAAAAATTAAGTTTCGTTTGTTTGAAGTCGGAGATAAGATTTTAAAACGAATTCTTCCAATGCAAGAGGAGACTAAAGGAAAGTTTGCGCCTAAATAGCAAGGACCATTCATTGTTAAGAAGGTGCTACCTAGAGGAGAGCTTATTCTTATGGAAATGGACGGACAAGTTTTTTCGCAACCAATCAATGCAAATATGCGCAAAAAGTTTTTCATTTAATTATAAAAAAAATTTTCTTTAAAATTACTGCAAGAGGCGGATTTAAGGCAGACTTTCTCTCCTTTTTTCATTTCGATATCCTACCCCTAATTTTTTCCTTTTGACTTTTCAGAGCAACCTTTCTTTTTTGCTTGACAGTCCCTCGAGATCACTAACACCATACTAAGGCAATTTTATTTATTTGTGAAAAAAAAAGAGAGAAAGAAGAGAATAGAAAAAAAAAAAGAAAAGAAAAAGCAAAGAAAAGAAAAATAGAGAAGTTTGGTTAGAATCAAACTGGGGCAAACTTTATTTCTTTCCAACCCTATACCGGAGCATGTTTTTTTGAAAGAATGCTATTTCAAATTATTCCGAACCCATCATATGATCCACTTTCAAGTCTTAACCTTTCCTTTACTACTCCATCCGATTCTAATTACAAGAGCCAAAAGTTGCCGACTTTCATCTTTTGCAGTACTTTGAGAAAAAATTTTCTTGATCAATGGGTAAATGATGTAAATACAGCTTTTCTGAAACACGTCAGAGAATATTGTCTCACTGATGCCACTAACTATCAAAACATGATTGCATTGATACAGTTGGGGTTAAAATTGTCTTGTCTATGTCTTAAGGTGAAAATCCGAAAGGGCACCTTTAAAAAAAAAGAAGAAAAGAAAAAGAAAAAACAACAAAAATTCAAAAAAAAAACAACAAAACAAAAGATAAAAAGGGGTGGGGATAACCTTAGTGAAAACCCAAAAGGACGCTAAGATAGGGTTTTGGAATACAAGAGTATCATGAACGAAGAACAAGATGTTAAGGTCTGAAAGTTGGTAACTGTGTTGATTTGGGTTTCTTTCATACTGTTGTTCTTTTACCGACAATGAATTCCAAAATGGATGATGTCGAAGAGGTCAGATGGAGCATTTTTCTTCATCCAAGGCTGTCCTCTAATATATATCCAACTTTTGATCCTTGGACCCATGTTCATAAATCCAACAATTTTGCTTTGCTATTCTATTTGCTATTTTATTAATTTATTCTGTATCATTGTTTACTTCATATCAGTATTATTGCATGATGAATAATACATTTTTCAATAGTTTATATTTCTCATTTATTAAGTCTCATTCAAAAGACAATCCCCTATAATTTATTCCAAAGGAGTCATGAAATTGAAGGTCTTATGATAATAAAGTATGGATATTTGATATTAGAAAGTTGCAAAGATTCTGAAGGGCTTGTGGACAAAATCTAAGGGAGTAATTTGTCGATATTGAAACTCATGTTTACTCAGTTCTCAAGGCAAAGGGATCTCATGGTGGTGGCAGTGTTTTCATCACAGTTGTTCCTTTTCCTTTTTTCCTTTTGCAGGTAAAATTATGTGACACAATATTGGTTTAGTTAAACATGATTCACATTGAGGCAAACGGTAGAAGGATTGAGCTCCAAGCTCGACTATACATTTTCGAAGAAAGAAAAGAAAAATCATTATTCCTTTTCTTTTAAAGTTCGAAAAATCAAGAAAATTGTAAGTCCACCAAGTAAGTTTGTCTTGGTTTATTACCTTTGGAGCAACATGCATTTTGATCTTGCAGTTTGATAATATAGAACTTGTATTTTCATTTCTTTCACTAGTTATTTGGGCTCGAGTTTAATCCTACCCCCTTTTCTTGACAAATCATGTTTAATTTATTGTTGGTGAGTCTCAACATCCGTCGCGCACCCTTCTACTCCCTTTTTTGGACAAATCGCATTTAATTTACTATTAGCGAGTCTTAGCGTCCACCGCGCACCATTCTACCCCCTTTTTGACAATTGCGTTTAATTTACTGTTGGTGAGTCTCAACGTCCATCGCACACCCTTTTACTTTTCTTCTTGACAAATCAAATTTAATTTCTAGTTAGCGAGTTTTAGCGTCCACCGCGCACCTTTCTACCTCCTTTCTTAACAAATCATGTTTAATTTACTGTTGGTGAGTCTCAACGTTCACCGCGCACTCTTCTACCTTTCTTCTTGACAGATCAAATTTAATTTTCTATTGGTGAGTCCCAGCGTCCGCCGCACACTCTTCTATCCCCTTTCTTGGAGCATAACCGCATCTCTCTACGCATCTTTTTCTAATTATGACAATTTACTTTTCTTGACTGTTTTGATTAACAATTGTGCTTTCTTATTCATTTTATGTTTCATGTTTAGAAATTTTAAGAGCTCGAACTTCTTTGACTTTACAAAAATCACAGATGGTCAATGCACTTGTTTCATTATGGTTCACTTGTATTCGAACTATGTTTGACTTGATTTCCATGGCGGGATACGTAGACAACTCCACATGAGTTTAGTCATGTGTTTTGTAATGCCATTGCATCATTTTATCCAGCAATTTCAACAAAGTGTTGGCTTGCTTATTTCAACTCAGGTACAATTAGAAGAAACAGGTAAACAATTTGGTGTCTACGTTTTTGTTTTAAGTTTCTTCAAAATTCTAAACAAAGAGGGGCAAGCGGTAGACACTAAAATTTTATCAAATTTTAATGTTTTCTTGAATATTTTCTATTTGATGAGTAATTTATTTTCTTGCATTTTAATGTGTATTTTTTTCTCATTTTTATAGGTTTATTTTAAGAAAAGAAAATTATGAAAAAAAATCAAAATCAAATCATGACTAAACTTACACATTTTAATCATTTTCCCTATCAAGACAACTTTTAACCCATTTTTACACTCCATTTCCATGCATCTTTCTTTTCATTGGGAAAACCCATTATTTTATTCCATAGGTCTTTCTTGTCATTTGGTGAAAAAACAATCATTTTGACCAACCTAATTGCAGACAAGGCTTCAACAATACTCCCTCTCGGCCATTCATTTTTCTTTCTCTCAACACTCAACATTTCCTCTAGACAAAAAACACGCAGAAGAAAAAATTTACCTCCCATCTCTCGGCTTTCTCTCCTCTCACTCTTACAAAAACAACTCACTCCCAACAACAAAAAAAAGATAGAGAAAAAATACTCTTCCCCCTCCCAACTCACACTCGTCTCCCTCTATTTTCTTTCTACACACTCGCACACAACAAAAAAAGGAGGGGCAGCTATCGGTTAGGCTGTTGGAGATTGGAATAAAAAACTTTCGCTAAGAGACTATAATTCTCATTGAGGTATCTCTCTTTGTCTTTTTTTTTTCCTTTTCCAGCTTTTCCTTTTTTATTAGTTATATTATAAGCATGTTTAGTTGTTAATTTGTATTTTTCTCTTGCTGGTTTTGTTTTTATTGTGATGTTGAGCATGGCATAAACTAGATTAAGAAAAAGGAAATGATTCTTGTGTATGTATGACAAGTGTTTGAGAAAATGTTTAAATGAAAAGTCGAATTAAATGAGGTTATTTTTTTGTTCGTTTAAGGTTAGGGTTGGATTGTAGAAATCACAAGTAGTGTTTTGATATAAAATTTACAATGTTTAGGTGAGATTTGAGTGATTTTGGGGAAGCAAAACCGTGGCTGTACTATGAAAATTTGACCACTTTTCTTTCTTTTTTTTTTTTGTAAAAAATAACTCCGAAAATGGAATTTATGAGAAAAATTGAGTTGAGGGTGTATTTTGGTAATTTTTTGTGATCGGAGAAATCACCGACAGCCGGCAGCTGACGGTGGCACCGCCAGCAGGAAGTAAGCTTCAGCTTCTCGGGAGAGAAGAAGAGGGAAGAAAGAACAAAGACAAGAAAGGAAAGAAAACAAAAATGAATGGGCTGATGTTTGGTTTTCTGATGGGCCAATTTCTTTAAATTCGATTGGGTTAGAGTTTATTTTTTTTGGAGTTTTTTCATCTGGGCTTGTGTTTATTTTTTATTAAGACAGCCCACATTTTTCTTTTGGACCGGATGGTTTCGGTCCAAGCAAATAAAAATAAATGATACAAAACACTTCTTACAAAAATCAGAAAAATGAATTTGCACTTTAGCCCTTGATCTTTGGAGTAGTTTTACTGTGGCCTAGAAAATTTTAATTTTCTTTCACTTAGACCCTTAAATTAATTGCATTTTGGTCCCTGAACTTTATCTTTTACTCCCTCCATCCCATTCATTTTGTTATGCTTTCCATTTTGGGATGTCCCATTCATTTTGTCATATTAGAAAAGTCAAAGCAACTTTTACATTCTCTTTTCAATATAACCCTTCTTTTTAATCATATATTCAAATTTAGAATTTGAATTTGAGGGGGTAAAATTGAAAATAGAAGTACAAACATCACAATTAAACCACTATTTTTAAAAAGTTGGATTCTCCAAACATAACCAAATGAATGGGACGGAGGGAGTATTTAATTTTGACCCCTAAACTTTGAAAAATATATTTTTGACCCCAAAAGTTTTTTTATTTTTGCAATTCAGTCCCTAGTGAATTTCGACTCTCTCTATTATAATTGTTTCTTTTCTTTAATAGCTAATTATGTTACTTTTGAATATATTTAACTTGTGATATTTGGATATTCTTTAATTTCTTTATGTTTGACATATTAATGTGAACTTAGTATTTTTTATCATTATTATTATTATTTGTTGGTGCCATGATTCTTTTGTTCATTTTGAGTGTAAATAGGGCAATTTGACTCCATTTAGTTACCACTTCAAAAGCGAGGTACCCATATTATTATTTAAATGTCAATTATGTGCTCTTATGTGCTCCTATGTGTTTATATATTTTTATATATGCTTTGTTATTTATTTGATTCAAATGTTCATTCAAATTTTCTTTTGTTTGTTTAGTTAATTTTATAATTATTTGAGAGGTGTTTAAATACCTCAAGATGTAATAGATAGGTAATATTTTTGTAAAAAATCATAATTAGATAGACTAATATAATAGATAGGATAAATATGTTTATTTTATCATATTTTCCC